TCATGGTGGCAGCAGAGAGCATTGTGGGAGTTTAGCAGCAACGGGACCATGACAGAGACTCTGAGGAGGTTCAGGACCTCCAAGCAGAACTCGTGTTTCAAACAAACTGAGACAGACTGTGTCAAATGTGATCAGTCTGTATTATTGATAAATTGAGTGTTGATATGAAATCCTGATGTTCAAGCCGTTCTGTTCAGTTTAAGAATGTACTGATCTGCACTGATGAGGACATAAAGTACAAAATACAACATCCGGCTGACATGAGCTGCAGGTTCCTGTCAAACATGTCCCAACATAATGTTATAAATGAAGCTTTGTGTTGCTTCAGAGATGCTGACCAATCAGATTCTACATTTGGAACATGCAACAAAAATCACCTCTTTTATTTGTTACAGTGGAAAAGATCCAAAGCTGATCAGAAGCATCGGTATCAGATCCGCTCCAGCTGCATGTTTACAGGATCAATCAGGCAAAGTGGATCGATCAGCTGAAGTGGACTGATCAGCATGAATCGTTTCCTCCTGACCTGGACTCTATCAGATCAGGAAGCAGCTGATCTTCACAATCCCGGTTCTAACTGACCAACATGGCTGCTCCAATCAGCCGCCAGGCATCCATCATCTCTACACCGTAATCCTCACCAGAGTGGTGGGGGGCTGGAGCCTATCCCAGCTGACTCAGGGTGAAGGCAGGTTCACCTGGACAGGTAACCAGTCTATCACAGGGCTACACTTAGAGACAGACAACCAAGCACACTCACATTCACACCTACGGACAATTTACAATCACCAATTAACCTCAGCATGTTTCTGGACTGTGGGAGGAAGCCGGAGAACCCGGAGAGAACCCACGCTGCACGGGGAGAACATGGAGACTCCACGCAGGAAGATCCCGGGTGTCCTCACCGGGACGCCGACCACCGACCTTCTAGCTGTGAGGCCACGGTGCTAACCACTGATCCACCTGCAGCCCACCGCCAGATATTTTCATGATTAACTGATGGACAAATCAAAGTGCTCAGCACTGACAGACTGTTTGTAGATGAGGAGGTGTCACTGTTACACCTCCAGAGGAAGACCTTTTCCCTCAGATGACCCCCTCAGCCTCTCTTTTCTTCTCTGCAGATATTAGAAAACATTCAAGGGTTGCCAGTTTCACTTGGATGTAATTTTAGACACGTCTGGTTGCATCAACAAACATGAAGCTGCTCCCTCCTGCCTGATAAACAGCCGTCATGTATCTGGCTGCTGTTTGGATGTAGGAAGAAAGATGCAGACGGGAAAGGATCTGGACAAAAAAGAACCTGGGCAGCAGTTGTAAGGTGCTTTACAGTCAGTAAACTGGAAAACTGCTCCAACTAAAAGATTAGCAGCAGCCCTCTGAGGACCTGAAACAGGTGAATGTAGTCACATGTCCCAGAGTTACAGCAGAGGGAAGCCGCTGGTCTACCTTTAGATCTGAAATGATTGACGACCGTCAGTACTCAAGGTTTTGACAACATTTTTGTGCACTGGGAGAGTTAGCCTAGTTTATACATCTTGATTTTAGGTCTCTACCTCAAAGTTGATTTTGAAACTTCCATTACAGTTTATCTCATTTTTCTTTCTGTGTTTTAGAGGTTTTTATAATATTTTCTACATCTTACAGGTGTTAAATTGACCAAACTCAAAGTTAGCTTTGACTTTTGACACTTACAAAACACTTTTGTAAAATGTTTTCCTATGTTCAAAAGTCTTAGTGACCATTTCAGCTCTGCTCTCACATCGAGTTATTATTTACTTGTTTGCTCTTTATTTAGTGTATCAAGGTAAGCTCATTCTGTCGTCCGTTTTCTGGATGCATGTGTGTTTTTGTGTATATTTATTGATTTGTTTTACTGCTTATATACCATTGAAAGTATTCGGCTTTCTGTGTGAATTGTATTAAGTTTTTTACAATTCTAAATAAAGTTGTTAAATCCAACATTTCTCCCTCCTGATCATTTAAAATAACTCATGATTTTTATTGTTATTAACTGAAATGAAACCATGTGTCCTGATATAATGTTCAACCCTCACCGGTGCACCTCTATAAACACGCGAGAATAGAATAAAACTTTGTAAACCTCAGGGAAATTGTTGTAGTGATTCAATCCTAAACTACCTATTTCTTTCCTGTCCTTTACTATTTTATTATTCTCTGCCAAGCCTCAGCACAAATCCCCAAAAACTTCACAATTCAAGAGAAGACTTTTGACACATTTGAAAAATGAAATTCAACTTTTTGAGGATCCACATTAAACACATCAGAATCATCCTGTTTCTGCTGCTTAAAACAAACAGAACTCCCTTGTCTGACAGAACATCGCTGAGTTTCTTACTTTACTGAAAAACAGTTTAAGCTGCAGTTCCACATGAGCAAAAACAGGAGAGAAACTCAGAACAAAGATTTGACTGCGAAAAGAAATCAGCTGTATAGAAATATTTCACTGGAGAGAAGATTATGTGCACCAAATACAGGCTGGTAAGTTTGATTATTTACATGAGCAGCACAAAGTTCTGTATGAAAGGAGAAAAGATTAGGATAAATCAAAAGATAAAAACTATTTTTGCTTAAAAGGATGAATCAAAAAAGACGACATTTTCTGTGCAGCTGCACTCCTCTACAAAATCACCCCAATCGTTTTGGAATTATTCATTCGTTACAAATAAAGTTACTCAAATCCCTGCTTCATTTACATCACAATATATTGCAGAAAAGCTAAATATTACATTGTCAGTTTTGTTATGAGTCATCATGGTAAATGGTCTGCACTTATAAAGCGCTTTTCTACCTTTGCAGCACTCAAAGTGCTTTACAATGTTTTCTCATTCACACATTCACACACCAATGGTGACAGAGCTGCCATGCAAGGCGCTAGCCTGCCATTGGGAGCAACTTCGGGTTCAGTGTCTTGCCCAAGGACACTTCAACAGTGGAGGGGGCGGAGATCGAACCGCCAACCTTTCGATCAGAGGGCAACTGCTCCATCACCTGAGCCACAGCTGCCCATGCAGCTCTAAGACGTACTCGAGTTTCCAGAAACATGCAGGAGTTTCATCCTGAGTAACAGTGATTACAGTCATCATGGAGAACCGAGAACCGAGCCAGACTCACTGTGACACCACACGTATACACACTGGTGCCATTTACGTCATTTATTTTAAAACAAAAATATCATCTGATCCCTGACAGATCAATTATTCATCAGCCAAATAAGAAGCATAAAGAAAAACATCCAAAGAAACTCTGAGGATCTGAGGGCTGCTGCTGCTGTTTAACTTCAGTTCATTACTACAAACATCTGGCGGTTTGGTGTCAGAACGCAGCAGCAGCTTCCAGCAGTTCGCTTCTCTCCTGCTCTCTGTGCTCACATAGACTGCACTTTAACACAGAGGTCCTGAGTTACAGGTGTTTCTGTTGTCAGGCAGCAAAATCAGGATGACACAGTGACTGAGAGGCATTCAGACGGCACGTTAACCAGCAGCCACTTCATTCAAAACACTGACTTTAAAACGTCGTCCGACAACAAAGTCAAGTTAAAGACGACGTCTGAATTCAGCTGCATCAACAAGAACTCAGTCGTCTGCTAAAATCAGAGAACCATGCTGACCTTTTTTTAACATTCACACTTTGTTTTTAAAAACCTTTGACTCAACAAATTGTTTCTCTAATTTATTTTCATGACATTGGAGATTTTAGTGTATAAACCTTTGTTTCCATGTCAGTCTGAGCTGCTTCATACAGTCACACAGTTTGTCACAACAAGTGCAATGAAATGCTCATTTGGCCGTTTTAGAGGAAACTAAACCGTTTCGATGAATCGACTGATTAGTAGAGCAGCAGGCGGATTAATACTCGTTGGCAGCAGTTCTGGTTCTGACCCTGCTGCCGAGGCTAAACCCTACTGTGTCCTGAGGATATTATGGGTTGTCCTCACACTGTCTCACAGAAGCAGCGGCTGAAACTCTGCAGGTTTTGAGGATGTTGTGAAGACACGAGGTTAGATGGCTGAGCTGCTGCTAACACGGAGCTGCTGCTAACAGGCTCAGACTCACTGACAGACGCTCTCGGAGCGTTTCACCGTTCAGACTCAGTCGGTCTCCTGCCGGTGCTTCGGCCGTTTACCGATCGATTGTGTTTAAATCTCTCGAACCTCCTGATGCTACTTCTACCACCGCGGTTAGCTTTAGCGGCTAACGCAGCCAGCAGGCTAACTGTTAGCGGGTAGCTCGGCTTGTAAACACGCTGAAACAATAGGAAGTGGTGAAGGAGGTGTTTCAATGAAATAACCCCCTCAGGTGTGTCAGGTGTGTCAGAACGGGCAGTTTGGTTGCTGTTCTGTTGTGATTGTAGCGGGGTTAATGGCGGCCCTGCTCGGCAGCAGCTCCAAACACTTACCGAGGATCTCCGCAGCGAAGCGGCCTAGGTGTCTTTCATGAACCGGTCCGAATCCTCCGTGAAGCTCCGCTCTGCAGGAACATGAACGTCTCACGCGTTATTCAGCCCAAATCTCAGCAGCTTTCTGCCTTTAGCCGCCAGCAGACTCCATCATGACGATCCTTCTTCTCGGCCCTGCTGAAATGCATGCCGGGAGATTTTCGTAACGGGCGGGAGAGCGCAGCGTCATGACGCAAAGGATTCTGGGAGAGTGAGTTTTACTTCGAAAGCTGGTGAAAATGCTAAAACCACAGACTGTATAACAGATGGACGTAGCAACCGGCCCTGAAACATGAAGCCAACCCAGAAGTGTCAGAAACCTGCAGCATCACTACGTCCACTAGCTGCTGGCTCCACAAAGCCCTGGCTCCCATAGACTGGAACTGGAA